TTTTGGCCGGTCGGGAAAAATTTACCTAACCGCACAGTAAAATTCAACATCTTCAACAAAAATTATGCACATGTCTAGATAATTTTGAGTAAGCAGTAAACAAATTTTACTGAGCAGTTAGGTAATTTTTGTCAAACGCCTAGATAACTTTCACTAAGCAGTCAAGAAATTTTACTGAACGGTACGCTAATTTTCCCCGAACTGCCAAAACACAATTCGATTACCAAACGAAACGGTAATTTCTACCGAATTTTTCTCTCCGTGTAAGGTTTTTTAAAAAAATTCATCAATTTAGTAGTGATTGTGGTCCGCATGACACCCTTCATGATATTGGATATCCATAATTTTTCTCAAATGGTCCTCAAGTGATTTGATTCATGATTGTGATTATTGAAAGATTTTTAATCGTTATTGTACTTAACTACTCTTACCTTGAATGTATGCAATTAGTTAAAACCCATAGTCCCTTATAATTATTTTCTAGGAGATATGATCATATTTGAGCCATACTGGGGTAACGGGGCCCCAGTGAGATTGTCATTGAATTCATTCCCAGAGTCGTTTCTCCACCCACAAGCGGGAGTTTCTATGAGACTCATAGGGGTTGTGGAATTCCTGGCTCCTCTGACACGAGTCAGAAGTTTGAAGGACATAGGGCACTATGTTCCGATCTGCCGAAGGAAAGACAATACGTGGAAGAGATATGACAAGAAGGACACCGAAGAGAAGATAGCAACCAAGTACAAACCAAATATTTCGTTAATATTTTATTGTAGGTGCTGAGCATAATAACAGTTGTTACTATTAATGTTTGGTTTGGAAGAACCATTATGGTAGACTGACGAAATCAGTTATCTTAAGAATTTCTAATAGAGATTATTATATCACGGAAAGACATTGTTCAAACACAAAGAAGAGTCATTGAATAAAGGAAAAAAGCAAGGAAGTGCTTCTCATATATTGTTTTAACAATTTTCTACTTCCTACCCCTCATAATCCCGTTATTGACGTATGTCAATTTATTCTTGTATATATCGCCTACCGCACTGCTATACACTGTTATCAATTTTCAACTGAAATTGCAGGTACACTTCTTGATAATATTCATCACATTTTGATTATACTGAAATTTTAAGGAAGTTTGTCATTGAAAATTCAAAATTATATTGGAACATCAAAGAAACATGAATTTCAGTTCAATTATTATATGCGAATGCATAATAATCATAAAAATTCAGGTAGTAAATCTATTCTTGAATATTCACTTAATCGAAAATTCCGCCTAAATAACTACTCAATATTCATTTTTTAATTGAAATTTCATGATCCTTTCCCCTTCCTGAAACCGATTTAATTTGGTTTTTCAGAAAGTTGATGGTTAACTGCTCACAAAATTTCAATGTATTTACTACAAAGTTTATTCAGTGTCACTATTTCTCACAGATGGAATGAGAAATAACCGAGCCTAATAAGGCTGACAATGCACCTATGGGAGTTCCCCCTACTCGACTCCTTTCTCAAAATTGACTACAAAAACAAAAAATTTAATCATTATAAATAATGATCTGTTAATAAGTTTTCAATTATCCAATCTCAAAAATGATTTTTTTGCTACTTTTATAAATGAGTATTAGTTCATTTCTACATTTTGGTCAAAAGTATGTAAATGCGTCGTTTTGTGAAAAAAAAAAATTGTGGAAAAAAATTATTTTTTGACACTCAGTGCGTAAGGCGCTGTTTCACGAACGCTTCGCTTCGCTCAGCGTTCGTGAAACACCGCCCGCGCACTTGTGTCAAAAAATATTATTCGATACACGGAAGTGAAGAACTTTTTCTGGCGAATATGAGGTTACAGAACGAGCCGAAGGCGAGTTCTGTAATCATATTCGCCAGAAAAAGTTCTCCACGCCCTAGTATCAAAATGTACTATTTTCAAACGTGAAAAAATAGCTGCTAATGAGCTCTAAATTATCCCATGTCGAAAACCAAATTTTGTTAATTTTTTAACCATTTTTTCTGCTAACTTGCGGTAAGGTAGCATAACGCCGTTTTTCCAAAAACTGGGTTAGCTGAAAATTTTGGTGGAAACGTAGAAAATCAGCTCTTCATTAGTTTTAAATTGTCCGATATCGGAAATTCAATTCTATTGATTTTTTAAATGATTATTCTGCTAATTTACAAAAAAGCTAGCATGAATACGTTTTTTTAAAATGGCATTAGCAGAAAATTTTTTAGATACATATAAAATTAGCTCATAATAAGCCACAACGCTATTATTTTCCGAACGGCATAACGATGAAAACTTTTGGAATAATAACAAATTATCTGATAATGATTTTTCAATTATCCAATGTCAAAAAGGATTTTTTTATCACTTTTACAAATGTGGTCATTCCTACATTTTGGGCAAAAGTATATAAATGCGTCATTTTGTGAAAAAAAAACATTGAAATTTTTTTATTAAAAAAAACTTTTGAGAAAAAACCCATTTTTTTCAACAATTTTTCGACACGTGAAAAATAGTTACTAATGAGCTGTAAATTATCCCATGTCGAAAACCAAATTTTGTTCATTTTTAACCATTTTTTCTGCTAACGTGGGGTAAGGTAGCATCAACGCCGTTTTGCCAAAAAATGAATTAGCTGAAATTTTTTTTTGGAAATGTAGAAAATTAGCTCTTAAGGGGTCTCCTCAGTAATTTTCGCCACAAAACGACAATGTGCTGGCGAATTGAATATGTAATATAATAATCAAAAATGGTAAAAGGAAAATTGTAAAAAAAACTGAGTAGTTTTATCGTTTCATTCGTTTTCAATTAATCATTCGAATTTCTGCTTATACATGGCCTTTAAGAACGAAATTTTGTACCTTACCCCTCACCCTGTTGACAATGTGCTAGCCAACAAAGGAAGCTATATTAATTTATATTAAACTCTCAAAAATAAGGGAATGAAGTTCATCGAGTTTTTCCAGTAATTTGTTGAATAAATTAACGATAAAAATCATTGGCGTGATGTCTCTCACTATCCAACGCACGCCATGTTTCATGTTTCGTCTCTCTCGAAAATAACCTCACTAACTTAACCATTTTACGCTCCACTCACCCGCGCGTTTATTCCCGTTTTGCGCTACTGAGGAGACCCCTTAATTAGCTTTAAATTATCCGATATCGGAAATTCAATTCTATTGATTTTTGAAATGATTATTCTGCTAACTTACAAAGAAACTAGCAGAGACGCGTTTTTTTCAAAAACGGTATTGGCAAAAAAATTTTTGAAGGCATATAAAATTAGCTCATAATAAGCTGCAAATTGTCCAATATTGAAAATTCGATTCTGCTACTTTTGCCTGCTAGGTTAACATACGTTCATACCATAAAGGGACATGTGTGTATAAACATTTCATGCATAATTTTCGCCCAGGTGTGAGAATAATCCGAGATTTATATTTTTCATAAAGCTCCAGGGACAACACTATCAAGTTTTTCTTGATAATCGTTTTGTGTTTCTGCGTTGGGTCAGAACATCTTTCGTTATGCAAAAATAATTCAATTTTTTTACGCAGATGTTTTTCACAAAAGAACTAGCAATAGGGTTGATGAATTGTAATTGGAGAGATTCTTCTACATTGAGATCATTAATTGGTAATAACTGTTCTGCTGTGCACTCAAAATCTTGACATTTCCAATAGCATTGGGGAATTCCGTTTGAGCCTGTAATTTTTTGAGCGAAATGAACTCAATTTATTACCATAACTTGACCAGTTCAAAGTTGATTTTGAGGTTAAAATCATATTTCTCAGAATTTTTGAATGAACCTTCCGCCATGATCGATGTGTAATCGAAGCAAAGAATTCAATCTTTCTACAATTTTCGTTCTACACAAGTTTATCATCACTTTACTAACTAAAAAAATATTTGTAGTCGATGATTTATTTTGAAACTGTCAGTTTCGGCGAAAAACACTGAACGTTTAGGCAGGTGCTTCGGAAGAGCCGTGTGCAGCCACATTCAGTTCAATGAGAGGGTGCACTAGGGATCTACATGATCATAGGGTTTTGTGTGGCGAAAAATGTGAATGACCGGAAAGGAAGACTATTTCTTTCTCTTGGAAGGAAATCACGTAAATTTATTGATTTAAAAAGAGAAAATAATTTTAAAAAAATCATAACTCCCGTAATTATCGATTTTTTCCAATGATTTTTTTTTCAAAATGTTCGGCTGAAGATCTACTTTGAGGAAAAAAATCGACAAAGAGATCCTCAGCAGCCACATCTTGATTTAAGGGAAATTAGGTAACATTTTTCTTAGACTTCCAGCAACATGCTTATTTCACCCATCAAAATGCAGTCAACCACTGCGAAGTAATAAGTTTAATTGCTGCCAAAATTTTCATCATCTTACTGATGATTTTTGGCGAAAATTTTGGATTTAAAAAAAATGAGGTTTTTGAGATAATTGTGATTGAATAAAAAACACGTTTTGTTGCATAAAACCCTTAAATAACAATGGAATCCATCGAATGACGGCTCATTTTAAAAGTTTTTCGATGTACAGTCAGGTACTAAAGTTCATGAACAAAACACATAGGATGCAAGTGCAGGCTGTTCACGAACTTAAGTCCGCGACGGTATATTTCATGTGCAGAACCGCGATTTGATACCTCCAAACCCGAATTCGATATTGCTGAAAATTTGAAAAAAAAATCACCTGAAAATATGCATCGAAAAAAACGAAAAATTTTCAAAAAATCATAACTTCCTTAATTTTCAATATTTTTGGGTGATTTTTTTTCAAAATGTTCGCATTGAGGCCAATTTTTAGGAAAAAAATTGACGACAAAATCCGTGAGATCGACTTTTTTGGCCTTGCGTTTTGACGTGGGTCTGCTCATTTATGAACTGATAGAATAAATAGTTCGTCTCCCGACTTATTTCAACAAATTTGTAAGTAATTTTACATAAAAAGGTCCGCAATAAATTTGGAACAAAAAACAATAAAATCTTTTTCAGCATATTTATAGAATCATCAATCAAAAATCAAGTGTTACAAAATTTCATAGGGTATATGAACTTTATCATCTGAAATTATTGGAGATATCCGCAGAAATATCCAGACAGACCTTCAATGGAAAAGCTTTGCGCATATTCTAATCATGTTATCGTTGGAACTTATTACAAATGAGCTCGCAATTGGCGATTGCCCTTTATCCAAATCTTTGGACTTTCATTTAATTGTTAGTTTACCATTCAGTCGAATTTTTCATTCTTCACTCGGTTCTTATGTAACCCATACAGTAACATTAAATGACAACCATTAAGAGCGGCACTGCTCAAAACAGTACTAGGATACACATTCCAGCACAATTCAATAACACCCAGAATGACAATCCTAGTAAACGGTGAATAATGTGTACACCAGGCAATATAAGGCAGTGTATGGTAGTACCACAGATAAAATTGATAATGCAAGGATCTACTGAACATAATTCCAAGAAAATTCGCAGCGAAAAGTGGCGCAATAAATAATTGACTGACAGTGGACATATCAACCTCGGTTGTCTTTTTCATCTGTGGTTTCAATTTCGTTCCCACGAATTTCAATTTGGCATAACACCTCATGTACGTCATCCACGTGGGAATGAAGTGAACAATAGCAGATAAATGCAAGAATAAAAGTGCAATATGGAACGTAGGATTAACAAATAAATCCTGTGGAATAATTCTCCAATTTACAGTCCATCTATACTCAAATATTCGTCCAAAATTGAAAGCTCCACCTATATAAGCATACGGGTTATTTATCAAAAACGGAAATCCTAATATAATTTGAATAATACCACAAATCGTGAGATGCAGAATCGTGTGAATTGATCCTAAGTTGCACACATAAGCGATTAATAACGCGGGAGCAAATAGTAATATATTCATTTTAACAGAGACTCCTAAACTGTAAAGCACGCTACCCCAATACCATTTGTCATCCAGAAAGGCATTCAAACTAGCAAATAAGAATATCATGGCAATTGAATCATTGAAAAGTCGCAGTACGAAGATCGAGTGCACTCGATAAGAAGTGCAGGATATTAATATTAAAACGTAAGGTGGAACTTTTTTAGTCTTTGCATAAATCCTGAATACCAAAACCAATAAAACGATATACAGCAACGCAAAAACGTATTGTGCAGATCTGATGTCAACTCCATGTGATGTCATGTAGTACAACAGTGAGTAAACATAAACAAATCCAGCAGGATATACAAGTGGTCCTGTGTCCCCTCTCAGTTTCCTATAATCCAGTGTTCCATTCAAGAAACCCTCTACTTCCTGCATATACGCTCTCCAATCGATTTCCGTATACTTCACATTGTGAATGACAAGGATATTCAATATGATCTCAACAGATACGAAGAAAATGGCCACGAGTACTAGTTTTTTCGGATCAACCAATAATTGAAGAAGATAGTCCAGTCGAGTCTGCAGTACAGATGTCGATCGCTCTGTTTTCTTCGAATTCTGGACACGTTTCTCCCGTCGGGTCGACATGATTCGATTGTTTCACTGTTTTTTCTAAGTTGATTAAACCGTTCAGTAGTTATTTCTGAATTCGAAATTCACAATTTTTCAATGAAATCTACTTAACAAGCCTGTAATTTTGGAACATGTTCCAGACAGTTTATTATCTAATTTTATTCCCAAAAACTCTGGGAGGGACAAGCAAAGAGGATAGACTAAAGTACTTATTATTATTATAGGTTATGTCGTCCTACAGAGAGGGCACTTAGCTTTTAGGTGATTGCCATACAGCCAGGATTCAACTAAAGTAAATAGTAACAGAGATTATAGGGGAGATGAGCAGGGCCAATGTAAAGTGTTCAACAGCAAAATTCGTAGCGGTGGCGCATGGACTACGATGGAGCGTACGGAACTGTTGGTATGGTAGAACCCGACCATAAATTTGTCGATAACCGGAAAGGGGTTCTCTATACGGTAGCTCCTCGCATTTTGTAATAATTGTAAGGAATGTAAAATCGAACATATTATAATCAATAATATAATGAATGCAGAATCTAATGATCTAAAAGGCTTTTCCTTGCTCTGGACATATTTATTATTGACACGTAGGTCAAAAAACTCATAGAAAATCCCAGCGCTGTCGCTGGAAAACTATAGTTTTCCAGTGATTATATTGAATAATTGTGCAGATTTTTTTTTTTTTTACTATGGTAATGTTCGATTATAGATATTTATTCGCCCCCTGAGTGAGAAAGGAATATGTATCGCGCTCGCTCCCACTCATTGTCGTCTCTGTCGCGTTGGCACGTGCCCGTCCTCCGCCAAACTTAACGAGTGCGCGTGAGAAAGAAAATGGAGAAGGAGGAGAGAGAAAACATTCCAACTCGTTTGAACGATTGGAACGTTTTCGTTGTTCTCCAGCGATCTACATATAATGGGATTAATTCAATAATAATAGATTAATGAATAAGATTTTTCGCAGATTATTGCGAGATTTAGATGAATGGTTTGCCTCCTTCAGTGACCATAAAAAATTGTCTCCAATCGACAATATCTCCCGATGGAATGGAACGATGTGAATGAATCAAATATCAATTTGAATCTTTAAAAAATTAATCGAGAGTGAAAAAAAATCCGGGAATTCCACTCTGACATTTCTCTATTGTCTGTATTTACCGAGAAAAAAAAAACGTTGTTCCTAGGAATCGATGTGTCTTTTTTAGGCAGCTGCATTTCTGAAATGCAATGAGCAAGCAATGTTAAAATTAAGTCATTTTGTAAAAAATTTCTAGTGACATGATCCTGAAAATCAAAGGAATGTCTTGAAATCAGGAATGATGTCTGTAAGTTTCAGTAATATTTTCGCAGAAATTCCGGGAACTTATTGGGAATTTTTATAGCGTTGCCGTAATACGGAAATTTCAAGGAATTTCGTCATTGCAAATTAAAAATTTCTATGAATTTCAGTCTAATTATATGTGTACGTCCACGCGAAAAGGGCCCATTTTATCCCATCTAATTTCCGAAATATTCACGTTTTTCTCTCCACTCCATTTATCCCATTCTTAAATTGATTTTTTGATCTTTTATACGGACGTCACACGGAGAAAAATAAATCGGTAAAAGTCTTGCCATCGCAAGGAGTTTCCCGAAGATCCCCATTTTTCATGCACGAAGAACAATGAAGCTTTTTGGAATCTTCGGGAAATTCTATCCTATCCTACTCAAGTAGGAGCGGAGGAATGAATTTTCAAAAGCGCGCAGTAACCCCGAACGGTTTTCCGGCGTCGAGTGAGCGCGGAGGGGCTCCCCCGATTAGGAAATTCATTTCTCCCCCTCCCCCCCTCCCCCCGCCTAATTGCAAAGAGGGAATGAACGCAACATCTATCGATCGAGAATAATAGTTTCAATAAATGACAGTGATTTCATTCCCTTAGTCTCTATTAGAAGAGGAGGAATGAATTTTCAAAACGCGCAGTAACTCCGAA